GTGTGTGTGCATGTGTGTGTGTGCATGTGTGTGTGTGTGCATGTGTGTGTGCATGTGTGTGTGCGCATGTGTGTGTGTGTGTGTGCATGTGTGTGCACATGTGTGTGTGTGCGCATGTGTGTGTGTGTGTGCATGTGTGTGTGTGCGCATGTGTGTGTGTGCATGTGTGTGTGTGTGTGTGTGTGTGCGCATATGTGTGTGTGCGTGCATGTGTGTACGTGCACACGTGTGTGTGTGTGTGTACGTGCACACGTGTGCGTGCGTGCGTGCATGTGTGTGTGTGCATGTGTGTGTCTGCATGTGTGTGTGCATGTGTGTGTGTGCATGTGTGTGCCTGCATGTGTGTGTGTGCATGTGTGTGTGTGCATGTGTGTGTGTGTGCATGTGTTACCATTTTGTCTTAGGCACATGTCGATTAGACACTAGGCCTGTTGGGTGTGTTTATGTGTGTGTGTATGTGTGCATGTGTGTGTGTATGTATGTGTGTATGTGTGTGTGTGTGTATGTGTGTGTATGTGTGTGTGTATGTGTGTATGTGTGTGTATGTGTGTGTGTATGTGTGTGTGTGTGTATGTGTGTGTGTATGTGTGTGTGTATGTATGTGTGTGTGTGTGTGTGTGTGTGTATGTATGTGTATGTGTGTGTACTCACCTAGTTGTACTGTGTGTGTATGTGTGTGTGTGTGTGTTTGTGTGTGTGTGTGTGTGTATGTGTGTGTGTGTGTGTGTGTGTGTGTGTGTGTGTGTGTGTGTGTGTGTGTGTGTGTGTGTGTGTGTACTCACCTAATTGTGGTTGCAGGGGTCGAGACTCAGCTCCTGGCCCCGCCTCTTCACTGATCGCTACTGGATCCTCTCTCTCTCTGCTTCCTGAGCTTTGTCATACCTCTTCTTAAAACTATGTATGGTTCCTGCCTCCACTACTTCACTTGCTAGGCTATTCCACTTGCTGACAACTCTATGACTGAAGAAATACTTCCTAACGTCCCTGTGACTCGTCTGAGTCTTCAGCTTCCAGTTGTGACCCCTTGTCCCTGTGTCCCCTCTCTGGAACATCCTATCTCTGGAACATCCTATCTGTGTATTTTCATGACTGTATGAGTAAATACACCAAGAGGTCTATATACACAGAGAATGCAAAAATTTGAGAATTTAAACTCATTTAGTGACTGAAGTTTACTTGACTGATGGTACACACGTAGTATACAGCCTTAATTACCCTCGTGTAGTCGATAGGCTTCAAGCCTAACAAAATGATCCATGCCCGAGTACAGGCTAAGACTGTCTGTTTATGAGGAATCTGAGTCTTCTTATTAACTTCTAAAAAGGCTTTGGAAACGTAATTTGCATAGCGAGCATTTGGACATCAATTGTAAATATACAAGTGAACGAGGCTACGCTTTTGCTACACTTATGTTAGTTGTCACAAGTTATTAACGAGGAAATATCAGTAGAATTAACGGAGGGATTACTCTCGTATTGTTGATAATTGCATGTTTTCCTTGTTAATTAAAGGTGACCTCCAGAGAGAAGCCTCGGGGAACCTGTTTGATGACTGAGCCAAGCGAGCTAGTGGGCGGCTTCTTCTGTGTTTGACTCCAGTGAAGCTCAGAAGAGCTGGGAGGACGGTGACGGATCACAACACTGTCCTAAATTTACTGTACGGGAAGGACTGGAACAGACAACAGCACTGTTCCAGATCAGTGAAAGAAGAGGGACAGTTCAAAACACAGATCAAATTTACTGGCAACACTAGGAGCCCCAACACTGTTCTAAGTCAACAGAAATTCTGGGACAGATTTAAAGTGGTTCCAAAAATCTGAGAAGAATAGAAGGGGCCTTAGCTTGGTTCTAAATGAGGATTACCAATACCATCCAGTGAACACTGAAAAGTGTAAGTAGTGGTGTCTGCAACGCCCAGAGCTTCCAGGAGGTGAATTGATAATTCCACCAACACCCAGTGTATGCCGGATACATTAACAGTGCCAAAAAAAACCGACTATTCCATCTCGGTGCCCGTAGGAAATCAGGTCATGGAAAAGTGACAGTGCAAACGGCAACTAAAACACAAGGAAGAGGCAATACAGTGCCAAGTGCCAGGCGGTGAACCACCATGGTTCAGGCAGAAATTAGAAGAGTTCCTTGGATTGTGATGCTGGTGATGCTGCACTCAGTCTTCACTCTTCCTCCATCATCTCCCAGGTACACAATGTTTACTCAGTCACCCTCACCACCCAGGTACACAATGTTTACTCAGTCACCCTCACCACCCAGGTACACAATGTTTACTCAGTCACCCTCACCACCCAGGTACACAATGTTTACTCAGTCACCCTCACCACCCAGGTACACAATGTTTACTCAGTCACCCTCACCACCCAGGTACACAATGTTTACTCAGTCACCCTCACCACCCAGGTACACAATGTTTACTCAGTCACCCTCACCACCCAGGTACACAGACTTCTCATTTCCCAGATAATACACGATAGTCCTTCATCAAGATAGAAAAAGATAGCTTTTCTCAGCAGATAGCCTCACTGTGGACTACCAAATCCTCTGCTGTCTGTCCCCTTCCCTCCCATTTATTACCTATGCACCTATCTTGAATTTCATTTTCTGTCTCCTCTTTCACAACCAGCTAAAAAACCCTGCGGATCTGGCCGAAATATACAGATCTATTTCACCTATGGTTTTCATTTATTTTTCAAGCTGGTTTTCTACATTCTAATTACTATAGCTTAATTAGGCTCCATTAACCTGCTTACCACGATCAAATTTGCTTCCCTGCTTATCAAAAAACCAATTACCTGCTTACCATCAGTCTATAAACTTCCCTGCTTGCTATAGACTCACTGATTCTACTGAGTAATGGTGGTAGTAATATTAGCAGCAGTAATACTATAAGTATCAGTAGAATTAGTAGGATATTATTATTATTATTTTTATTTTATTAACACATCGGCCGTCTCCCACCAAGGCAGGGTGTCCCGTAAAAGAAAACCTTTCACCATCATTCACTCCATCACTGTCTTGCCAGAAGGGTGCTTTACACTACAGTTATAAAACTACAACATTAACACCCCTCCTTCAGAGTGCAGGCACTGTACTTCCCATCTCCAGGACTCAAGTCCGGCCTGCTGGTTTCCCTGAGCCCCTTCATAAATGTTACTTTGCTCACACTCCAACAGCACGTCGAGTATTAAAAAACATTTATCTCCATTCACTCCTATTAAATACGCTCACTCATGCTTGCTGGAAGTTCAAGCCCCTCGCACACAAAACCTCCTTCATCCCCTCCCTCCAGCCTTTCCTAGGCCGACCCCTACCCCGCCTTCCCTACACTACAGATGATACACTCTTGAAGTCATTCTGTTTCGTTCCATTCACTCTACATGTCCGAACCACCTCAACAACCCTTCCTCAGCCCTCTGGACAACAGTTTTGGTAATCCCGCACCTCCTCCTAACTTCCAAACTACGAATTCTCTGCATTATATTCACACCACACATTGCCCTCAGACATGACATCTCAACTATTATTATTTCCATTAATTAATAATTTTTTTACTCAAGAAATTATAAGTTATACAGAGCACATGACGAGTAAATTCTATAAGCGGAAGATGTACTCAAGAAGGAAGACGCACTCAAGAAGAAGATGTACTCAAAGACGAAGACGTGTTTAAAGAAGACGTACTCAAGAAGGAAGACGTACTCAAGAAAACAGACGCACTCAAGAATGACGTACTCAAGGAGGAAGGGAACGCGAGAGAGACAGAGCAAGAAAATAAACAAGAGTAGTAAGAGAAGAGGATGTCACGGCACTTGATCTGGCAACGATGACGAGGTGTTTACCTTCATTAGTCACCTCCTCCACACTCTGCCCACCATAAATAACGCAGTTTTTATTTTCTCTGAAACTTTATATATATATATTTCGTGGTTTTTTTTTTTTAAATTTCTCAAAGGTGCTCGTGGTTAATGGTGCTACATATATTGATATTAAATATTATGGCACTACGTATTATGACACTGCAAATTATGACACTATGTACTGCGGCACTACATATTATGGCACTACATATTATGACACTACAAATTATGACACTACATACTGCGGCACTACATATTATAGCACTACATATTATGGCACTACATACTGCGGCACTACATATTATGGCACTACATATTATGGCACTACAAATTATGACACTACATATTATGGCACTACATATTATGGCACTACATATTATGGCACTACATATTATGGCACTACATACTGCGGCACTACATATTATGGCACTACATATTATGGCACTACAAATTATGACACTACATATATGGCACTACATATTATGGCACTACATATTATGGCACTACATATTATGGCACTACATATTATGGCACTACATATTATGGCACTACATATTATGGCACTACATAGAGACATCTTGAAAATGTCGTATATTTCATCTTTCTAGAAGAGATAGTTCATTATTATTATTATTATTATTATTATGGTTATTATTATAACTAAGCGCTAAACTCACAAGGGTCGTACAGCGCTGCAATTTCTTAGGATAATAAGTATTATGGACATCGGTAGAAGCGCTAAACTCTTATGCGGGCATAAAGAGTCTGGGGAATAGGATGTTATAAGGGTTTGATCCGAGGAACGGAAGATCAGTTCCAATTTTTCTAATCAAAAACTTTTCACCAGCAACAAGGCACTTTTTTTGAAGGGATTTATATTATAATTCTTTTCAATATTTCTGTTCATCATATTTTATAATAAGAGTATTTATTATTTATCATTGTATTCACTGTTTACTGTTACCACTGTTTCCAAATTTCACCTATGATGTCATAATCAGTAATGAGAGGGAGTCTAGTGTATATATATATAAATTTTTAGAAGCTCCTCAGTCAACTAGTGACAATTTCATTTTATCCTCATATAAATTCGTAGTTACCTCTGAAAAATTCAGTGCCAGCTAAATAATGTGTCTTTTGCAGGTGGCTGGGTCGAGGTGCCACTCTAAGTTCTTGGTCTAGTGCACTCGGGGCACTCAATCAGGCTCGGACTTTTAACTTCCAAAAAGGTAAACAGCTTCAATTCCTCTTTCGTTTATGCCGCTGTAAAGTTCTTGACCTTTAGCTCGGCCCAGGGTAAACAGTCTCACTGTCTCCTGTGTTTATGTTGATGCGGAGATCCAGCCTTAAAGTCTGAATGTTTAGGGAAAACCCCTCGCTGGCGTAGCTGTGTGTTTAGTGTCTGCAGATGTGGCTGTGAGTGTTTAATGTTTGTAGGCTTAGCTGACTGTTTAGAGTATGCAGGTGTAGCTGTGTGTTTAATGTCAGCAGGTGTAGCGTCTGCATGTGTGGCTGTAGACTCTTACAGAAGTGGCTTTGCTTCTGTAAACCCTACCACATACGGCTGTGCTGGAAGACTCAGCACTACTGCAACTTCTTCAGCCAACTTTACTCTCAAAACCAGTTTACGGAGCTACTAAGCCTTATGTTTCGACTGTTATCAATGTAGTTATCCTTACAATTATAATCATGGAGAAGCGCGAAATACACATATGATTTATACCGTTTGGGAAATAGGGTTTAAAACAAGAATTGGAAGAATAACTCCATTTCTTTTGATCAGAAGCCTTTAATCAGCATCACGACGCCCTCTTTCCTTGAAAGAAAAGCTTCCTGAAGACCTCTCCTCTTTGTCACTGAAGTATTATATGTTATGACGCTGTGTTTCAGAGGGATGGCACACGAGGATGAAGGGAGGTGGTAAGTGGGTGGTGGAGCAAGTGCACGAGGACCTCCACCTGTCAGTGCAAGAGGACCTCCACCTGTCAGTGCAAGAGGACCTCCACCATCACCAAGACAAGTTAACCAGCGCAGAACCAGGTCTTCACCTACTCGTGATACACCAGTATACAGCCAGGTAAGTGCATTCTGCTTTGCACAGACGTTTGGCAAATATGGACTGATTGTACCTTAAAACAAAGTCCCTATGATACGATGGGTAAAGAAATGCATATTTAAATTTCTAACAAAAGTAAGTTCTGGTTGCTAGAAGTTCTAGCAAACAACACTAAGTCTGGCCTCATAAGTGTAAAACTGTTTAGTACCACAAGCATCCTCCTAGAACCTTTGCTAGTTTTAAACCTAACAGTGAACATAGATAAAAATTACTAGCCACAGTTTCGTATCAACCCTTACGGACGATAACACAATAATTATGAAACATGGCTCGGCAAAAGAGAGAACAAAATTCCAAACATATCTACGAAGTTTTCCAGTAGGAGAATGAAAACAGCAACATTCTAACTGCTTGGGAAGAATGAAGAACTTGACTCATGAAACTGTAATGACACGATTGCAGACAAATCATACCACGGACGTAATTATTCCTAGGTTTTTTCTGTGTTCTTTACGGTCTGTGATATGGACCGCTGCGCAGGCAGTCCATAACGCAGACCGTAAAGAACACATAAAAGACCTAGGAATAATTACGTCCGAGAATTTGTTCTTTAGGGAACACAGACACATGTAAGAAAGACCAGAAAATAAAAGAATGGGCGTGAGAACACTCAAGACAAGAGAATGAACAATATTTTCAAATTAATGGTGCTCTCCCTACCCTAATACTGTTTGTGCTTACAGCATCTTTTGGCGTGGGAAAGATAACAGACCTGGAAAACATACAGAGAACGATTACTGCCCACATAAAACCAATTAAACATCTAAAGAGCTGGGAACTCCTCTTGGGACTCTGTTCTCTCCCTAACAGAGGAGAGAGATAGAAAGAGAGAGATACCTGATAATTTGTACACGGATAATACTCTGTTCCTGATCCCTAATGTGCACTCTGTTGCAATAGCTTACTGGAGTGAAAAATAGGGAAGAAAGTATAGAATAAACCAAGTGAAAAACATGATAGAAAGTATAAAATGAGCCAGTGAAGTGCAGGGAAGAAAGTATAGAATAAACCCAGTGAAGCACAGGGAAGAAAGTATAGAATAAACCCAGTGAAGCACAGGGAAGAAAGTATAGAATAAACCCAGTGAAGCACAGGGAAGAAAGTATAGAATAAACCCAGTGAAGCACAGGGAAGAAAGTATAGAATAAACCCAGTGAAGCACAGGGAAGAAAGTATAGAATAAACCCAGTGAAGCACAGGGAAGAAAGTATAGAATAAACCCAGTGAAGCACAGGGAGAAAGTATAGAATAAACCCAGTGAAGCGCAGGGAAGAAAGTATAAAATAAATCCAATGTAAAACAGGGAGAGGCTGCGGACACAGATAACTGCATCAACATCCATGGCTCTAAACACTAAAATGTACGTAAGCTTATTTAAACTTGCTCTACGCATGCAAGAGCTTTATTTCGTTCAACTGGGATATGATCCTCAAGCTTAAAAAAGCTTATTTCACTAACCTGCTTACGTTTCTGTTTTCATTCATGTAAAATAAACATGAACATACGAGTGTTACCACTCATAATACATGAGTGTTATTCTGTCGATATCAATATGCTGTCTTACGTATTTGTGTTGTATTTTGATCACCATTTTGACTCAGAGAATGATTGGCGAGGTGCAAGAATTTCCTCTTGAAGCAAAATCTTAGTGAACTCTCTCCTAATGTGAATGTTTAATTTTTATAATGCGTAAAAAGGTGGTGGGTCGATCCTGTTGTCGGTGAGAAGTGTAACTTCCTAGACGCGTGAGTGATCACCCGACCGCGGCAAATGGAATTAATGCGTATTGATTTGAATGGGCATTAATCTGATTACGTATTGATGTGAATGTGCACTGATCTGTGTGCGTATAATGTGTAAGCGTATTGATACATGGTTGTGTATGGTATGGTGATATCGACAGACTATGGAAGAAGATTCCTGTTTACAGTTCGAGGCATTTATTTAAAGAAACATTACGCCAAGAGTTGCTTCATTAGTTCTTTTTCGTTTATAAATGTCTTGAACGGTACACAATTTATGCAGTATTGATACTGATTGCTCGGGCGCTGCTACTACAAGGCTTTGTTCCTGGTAGGGTGTTGGTGAGGCGGGTGTTCCAGACGCAGGAGCCGTACGCCTGGTGGGGGGACCTCGTGTGGTGGGTGAGTCGCGTGGCTTCTGGTCGTCTTGTGGTGATGAGCTGTGCTGGTTATGCCAGCCTTGGTCTGCGCCACGCCCGTACCCTCTTTCAGGACCTGGGAGCTGTTTTCGTCCCCTATCTAGGCTACCAAACCTCCTGGTGCTGGGCCTTCGTCAAGGGTGGCCGTACCCTCTACGAGGCAGTCATTAGGGGTAAATCTGCCACCCAGGTGAGTTCTGGAACTTGTAAAGCCTGTTAATTTAATGCAATTCATTGAAGTTTTAGTTGTGCCGCCTGAGAGACTAGTTTAGTGTGTACCCCATGATCATCCTGTTAGCGGTAACGCAAAAAAAAAAAAAAAAACAGGATTTCAGAGGTCACAATAAGTCTTTATCAGATAAGTATTAACCACTCCTGTATATACTTTCGCGTATGTGTGCAGATGATACCAGACCCAGAGTACGCCAGCAACAGTGTGTACGCCGAAGGTGCTCTCCTGCCCTTGTATAACCCACGACCTTCTGTTATCAATGCCACTGACCTAGCGCGATGGCAGTACTGCGAGGCTCATGGTGCCATGGGTGGGCTCTGTGATGAGTGGTCCCCAGACCCATTACCATTGCCCTCTGCTCCACCGGTGGGTCTGCAGACGGCCCTGGCTGGGGTGGGTGTGGTGGTGACAGCAGGTAATAGACATCAGTACCTCTACCACACCCTCACCACCCTGCTGGCCACACCAGGGGCACAACAACACAACGTCTTCGTTGTCCTCGGTGATGCCCCGCCGTCCACAACACAACTTCTTCGTCTTCTCGACCTCAACTTCACCAAAGTTGCCGTCCAGGGACAAGACAATGATAAGCTCTTCCGCTACTACCGCAGTGTCTTCCAGTTAGCAGTTAACACCTTCCCTGACGCTCCAGCGGTCATATTCCTAGATGAAGACGTCGAAGTTTCACCAGACTTCTTCTCCTTCATGAGCCAGACTCTCTGGCTGCTTCACGCTGACCCAACTATCTACTGCATCAATGCCTTCTCATTCCTACCAGACATGGGAAGAGGTCGAGGGCCACAGTACGTGAGACGGGGAGAGGTACAGGTCTCTTGGGGCTATGCTGTGACCCTAAACTTCATAAGGGAGGCCCTGAAGATGTGGCCTCACGGGATAAATGGACTAGACATACACACATACGACTACTGGTTGTACGACAAGGTGCGAGGTGAGAGGGAGTGTATTTATCCGGAGGTAAGCCGTCTGCGGCACTACGGAGTGGGAGTAAACACCGTCCCTTACATGCACGAGTACGAGTCCTTACACCGGCCACTATTGCACGCACCACCCGTGCCTCTCCTCAACGCTGCCCTAATGAGCTACGCCAACCACGAGACCGACTTTGTGAGAGGACTGAAGACAGCAACAGAAGTAGAGGCCACAGCCCCCTGCGACCCGCACTTCCCGGACAGGGCAAGAAGGGCCACAGGACCTCTGGTGGTTTTTTTCAATCAAACAGAAGCAGACGACGTCAGCAGCTGGGTGGAAATGGGTCTCTGTGCTGGACTACACCCTGTGTCAGAGCAGGACAACCACGCTGGGGCACACTTAGCTTTCTACCCCCGCTACCTACACCCTCCAGTCCCACGCAACACCCACCCACTCAACAGGTACGGTTTTAATTACTACACCCCTCAGGAGCTAGGAAAGAGTGAAGCCATGTACACCAGAGTGTACTACGTGGGAGTACCCTACTCCAGGTATACTCACCTCAAGCCACACTCAGCACCAGTGTTCGACACCTCTGCTATGACCTCAGACCAGCTAGACGATCACTATAACAAGTTCTCTGACACACTTAGTAAATTACTTCTCAACACTACCTACTACAACTGTTACAAATTAATATCAGAATTTACACAAAATAGTGAATAAACATTGTATTCACATCGTGTTAATTTATATAAATATTTCTAGAAACTGTTATGTTTTATTTTACATTATTAGACACATTAACTGCAGTGATTCTGCACACAAATAATAATAATAATAATAATAATAATAATAATAATAATAATAATAATAATAATAATAATAATTAAAATAATAATAATAATAATAATAATAATAATATATTAACTACAATAACAATTAAAATATATCCATTATGTTGCGGTGCAGATAAATATATAATTATAATAATCGATAATAATAATAATAATAATAATAATAATAATAATAATAATAATAATAGGATATACACGACAAGGCTATCTGTGCTGCAACTACTGTAAACTTAAGAAAAATTCCTACACAGTTTGAAGACTAGGTATGTGTCGAGGGGGGTACAAACAAGTGTAAGATCAGATAACTTCACATACAACCTGGTTTTAGCATAAAACAAAATATAGTGAATTGCTACACCTCAAGAAATATCACTAGCAAGACTGTAGAGGAAATAAGAAGGAAGCAATAACAACGTTAAAAGGAAACAATAAGAACGTTAAAACGAAGCAATAAGAAAAACATTAAAAAAGTTGGAAAGAATAAGATGTAATGAAATACGATAAGAAAATTGATAAAATAATGTTTGTGAGTATATCATTTTATATTTACAAGAAGGGAGAGGAGCAGAGAGAGGAGAGAGAGGAGAGAAGAGGAGTAAGAGAGAGAGAGAGAGAGTGTGAGAGAGAGTGAGAGTGAGAGAGACGAGTAGAGAGAGAGAGAGAGAGAGAGAGCTGATGAATTGACAGACACAGGAACACAACAAGAAACTATAGACAAGCGAGTTTAACATAGTTGCTCAATATTTTGGGGTATCTTCTTTTCTAAGCCGTGAAGTAAGTTAGTAAAGTTAAACTGACGGAGGATCGAGCCTCCACAAATTCTTGCTCTAAGAACGCAATCAGGTCAGTTACGTATAAAAAATAAGCCAAAGGCGGACGCCCACGTCACCTGTACTCAATTTAGGTTTAGTTACTCTCTTAGAAAGAGAGAGAGTGAGAGAGAGAGAGTGAGAGAGAGAGAGTGAGAGAGAGAGTGAGAGAGAGAGATACAAGAATAACACCATGCCACGCAATAATATTACAGGAGTTTCCTGTAACTTTCAGAGAACGTGAGGAGGAAGGAGACACAGTCGACGCTTCAAGACGGTCAGTGATGTCTGTGTAGCGTTGAAGATGTGTAGCGTTGATGTTGTGTAGCGTTGATGTTGTGTAGCGTTGATGTTGTGTAGCGTTGATGTTGTGTAGCGTTGATGTTGTGTAGCGTTGATGTTGTGTAGCGTTGATGTTGTGTAGCGCGTTGATGTTGTGTAGCGTTGATGTTGTGTAGCGTGTTGATGTTGGTGTGTAGCGTTGATGTTGTGTAGCGTTGATGCTGTGTAGCGTTGATGTTGTGTAGCGTTGATGTTGTGTAGCTTGGATGTTGTGTAGCGTTGATGTTGTGTAGCGTGGATGTTTTTTGTTAGCGTGATGTTGTAGGTAGCGTTGATATTGTGTAGCGTTGATGTTGTGTAGCGTTGATGTGTGTAGCGTTGATGTTGTGTAAGCGTTGATGTGTAGCGTTGATGTGTACGCTGGTTCGACGTTGATGTAGCGTTGATGTTGTGTAGCGTTGAATGTTCGTAGTTAGCGTTGATGCTGTGTAGCGTTGATGTTGTGTAGCGTTGATGCTGTGTAGCGTTGATGTTGTGTAGCGTGGATGTTGTGTAGCGTTGATGTGCAGCGTTGATGTTGTGTAGCGTTATGCTGGTAGTTACATTAAACTACACAGGGAACGAGTGTCACTATTCAACGTACTTGACAAACACAGTGTACACTACACTTAGCAGCAAACAGTGCTACACATCAGCATACACAACACACAGTGCTACACATTAACATTATCAAACACAGATGCTACACATCAACACTGACATTCACAGTGCTACATAACATTTACGACAACAGTGCTACCTCAACATAACAACGTGCTACACATAAGCATTTCACAACACAGTGCTTACCTATCAACATGCTACACATACAACTAGTGCTTACACATTATACATACACAACACCGTGCTACACATCAGTAGTCTACACAAACAGTGCTACACATCACACTAGACAACAAGTGCTACACAGATCTACATACACAACAGTGCTAACATCAACTACACAACACACAGTGCTTACATCGAACACTTACAAACCAGTGTTACACGATCAACACTACTAAAACAGTGTACGTAATTACACATACAGTGGCTACAATCAGCATTACCATTAACTGTGTTACACATCTAAACTACTACTCACACAGTGCTACATATCACTACACTATAAGTGGCTACTTTCACACTAACGAACCAGTGCGTACCATCGACACTGTCAACACACAGTGTTACTTGCAACTTTAGCTACATAAAGTGTACCATAGCACTACTAACACACAGTTGCTACCATTCAGCACTACACAACATCGTGTACATTTTAACTTACACAACACCAGTGGTAGCTCATCACTACAACAAAGTGCTTACTATTTGCACTACAACTACACGTGCTACTATACTCAAACTACGAGTGTACGTCATATTTACAAAGACACAGTTGATGTTAGCATCAGCACTACAACACACGTGCTACAATCACACTACCACCCGTGCTACTATTGAACACTACACAACACACAGTTGCTGCACATCAGCACTACCAACACACAGTGCTACACTCAACACTACACAACACAGTGCTACACATCACTAACAACACACAGTGCTACACATCAACATCTACACAGTGACACAGTTGCTACACATCAGCACTACACAACACACAGTGCTGACACATCAACACTACACAACACAGTGCTCACATTAACACTACACAAACACAGTGCTACACATCAGACACTACACAACACACAGTGCTACACATCAACACTACACAACACAGTGCTACACATCAACACTACACAACACAGTGCTACACATCAACACTACACAACACAGTGCTACACATCAACACTACACAACACACAGTGCTACACATCAACACTACACAACACACAGTGCTACACATCAACACTACACAACACAGTGCTACACATCAACACTACACAACACACAGTGCTACACATCAACACTACACAAACACAGTGCTACACATCAACACTACACAACACAGTGCTACACATCAACACTACACAACACAGTGCTACACATCAACACTACACAAACACAGTGCTACACATCAACACTACACAACACACAGTGCTACACATCAACACTACACAACACAGTGCTACACATCAACACTACACAACACACAGTGCTACACATCAACACTACACAACACACAGTGCTACACATCAACACTACACAACACACAGTGCTACACATCAACACTACACAACACACAGTGCTACACATCAACACTACACAACACACAGTGCTACATATCAACACTACACGACACAGTGCTACACATCAGCACTACACAACACACAGTGCTACACATCAGCACTACACAACACACAGTGCTACACATCAGCACTACACAACACACAGTGCTACACATCAGCACTACACAACACACAGTGCTACACATCAACACTACACAACACAGTGCTACACATCAACACTACACAACACACAGTGCTACACATCAACACTACACAACACAGTGCTACACATCAACACTACACAACACAGTGCTACACATCAGCACTACACAACACACAGTGCTACACATCAACACTACACAACACAGTGCTACACATCACACTACACAACACACAGTGCTAACATCAACACTACACAACACAGTGCTACACATCAACACTACACAACACACAGTGCTACAACATCCACACACTTACACAACACACAAGTGCTACACATCAACACTACACAACACACAGTGCTACACATCAACACTACACAACACACAGTGCTACACATCAACACTACACAACACACAGTGCTACACATCAACACTACACAACACACAGTGCTACACATCAACACTACACAACACACAGTGCTACACATCAACACTACACAACACACAGTGCTCACATCAACACTACACAACACAGTGCTACACAACACACCACGTGCTACACATCAACACTACACAACACACAGTGCTACACATCAACACTACACAACACACAGTGCTACACATCAACACTACACAACACACAGTGCTACACATCAACACTACACAACACACAGTGCTACACATCAACACTACACAACACACAGTGCTACACATCAACACTACACAACACACAGTGCTACACATCAACACTACACAACACACAGTGCTACACATCAACACTACACAACACACAGTGCTACACATCAACACTACACAACACACAGTGCTACACATCAACACTACACAACACAGTGCTACACACCAACACTACACAACACAGTGCTACACATCAGCACTACACAAACACAGTGCTACACATAACACTACACAACACACAGTGCTAACATCAGCACTACACAACACAGTGCTACACATCAACACTACACAACACACAGTGCTACATCAACACTACACAACACAGTGCTACACATCAGCACTACACAACACACAGTGCTACACATCAACACTACACAACACAGTGCTACACATCAACACTACACAACACACAGTGCTACACATCAACACTACACAACACACAGTGCTACACATCAGCACTACACAACACACAGTGCTACACATCAACACTACACAACCACAGTGCTAACACATCAACACTACACAACACACAGTGCTACACATCAACACTACACAACACACACATCGCATACAACATCAGTGCACCATCACACTAACACACAGTGCTACACATCAACACTACACAACACAGTGCTACACATCACACTACACAACACAGTGCTACACATCAGCACTACACAACACACAGTGCTACACATCAACACTACACAACACAGTGCTACACATCAACACTA